GGGGGCGAAACGAGGGCGCGTTGGGCAAAGTGACGCGATGCCAAGTTGTAGTTGTTTGAGGCATTTCACTCTCGGGCTGGAGAGCACGATTTGAACAGGGACGGAGGACGAGTGCACCCACCAACTAACCCCCCTCCCCCCACACACACACAGAGTGAGCGAGATGCATACAATTCGCGTCACTTCTGTTGTGAGCACTAGAGCGCTGCATCATTCCTTCTCGCGTCTCTCTGTGTGTGTGTGTGTGCTTCGGCACGTGTATGCACCGGAGGGCGAGAGAGAGAAGAAAGGCTGGAACGAAGACAACGGGCAGAAGAAAGGAACAAATCCAAAAAAAAAGAATAGCGCCTTTTGCACTTACGATGCTGCGCGTGTGGGAATATGTGAAAGGGCAACAGAAGCAAGCGGCGGCGGCAGCAAAGAAGGAAAGAGAAACAAAAAATATATTTATATATCTCTGTGCAACGAGCGAACGGGAGAGAGGGGAGTGTGGCGAGGAGGAGACGCACACACACACACAGAGAGAGAGAGACACTTTGCAGAGAGTGGAGGGAGGGAGAGAGAGAGTGGAAACGGGGTGAGAGGGATTCTCTTGTGTGTTGTTGTTGTTGGTCTGTGTGTGTTGGTCTAGAGCAGCGTCAGGCGCGGAGTGCAGCTCCCTGCTCGGGGGCTCTGCTGGGAGACGTGCGGCTATATCTCTTTCTCTCTGCTGTGTGCTGCGCCGAGATGTGTTTGCTCCGCTCTCCCGCTTCCTTTATCCCGCTCTGATGTGACGCCGCTAGCCTCCGCCCTTCCGCTGACGCACACACACGCACACGTGCGTGCAGCTTGGGCGGGAAAAAGACTTGCATCTAATGGCGTGCCGCGTCTGGCGGGCGTGTTGCTGCTGCGCCGCCGCACCGGCACACGGTGGTGTCTTCGCGGCGCTGTGTGCCCCACAACGCTGGCGGTCCGGGACGCCTGCCTCGACCAATAATAATAATAATAATAATAGCAACAGCAGCAGCAGCAGAGGCGGTGGTGTGTCGCTGCCGCCGCTGCGGTGCCCCGGCGGGCCGCGCGTGAAAGCGGAGGGGCTGAAGCATCTCTTCAAGGTGCCGCACGCCGGCTTCCTCGCCAAGCACGGCCAGCGCTTCATCCTCAACCTGAAGCTTACGCACCAGATCGTCTCGCACCTGAGCCGCAGCACGCTCAAGACACATGACAAGCTGCTGATTGAGCTCGGGCCCGGGGCGGGGGCGCTCACGCGCAGCCTGCTGACGCGCCCGTGTGTTGGTGTGCTCGGCATCGAGGCGGACGAACGCTTCAACGCGCACCTGGAGCAGATACGGCAGTACACGGAGGGAAAGTTTGAGTGGGTGAACGCCGATGTGCTGCGCGTGAATGAGCTCGATATTCTGCAGTCCGTGCACCCGGCATTCGTGCAGCAGCATCGGCGTCGCCCGAGTGGGGCGGCGGACAGCAGCAGCAGCAGTAGCAATAGCAACAGCGGTGGGTGTGAGGGGGCGCCGCTTCGGAATGCGCAACGTGAGCGCATCTTGCGTAAGCGCTTTGGGCGGTACGCGGGCTTCAATCACGACACCGCAAGTAGTGGTAGTAGTGGTGGTGGTGGCGGGGGTAGCGGTAGCATGAATACTAACACTAACAACGGCAGCGGCAGTAGTGATGCGGCCTTTGAGGTGACGGATCACTGGTGGTCTGACGGCGACGCCAAGGTGGAGGTCATCGCGAACCTTCCGTTTGACGTCATCACGGAGCTGCTGATGCGCTTCGCCACGGACTGCTCGCGCAAGCAGAACCTCTTTGTCTTTGGCCGCGTCCCACTGCACATCTTCACGCAGAAGGAGGTGGCGGAGCGCATCATCGCCCCCGCAGGGTCGGTGCATTTCTCGCGCCTCTCTGTGCTGTGCCAGTGCTACTTCCACGTGCAGGTGCGGCAGACGTTCAGGGAGATGACGTACTACCCCAAGACAGAGGTGCTTGGCGCGATGCTGACACTACAGCCTCGCAGTGTGTCGCTGCTTCCAGGCATGGACGCCGCCACGCTGATTCACTTTACAGATCTGCTGATGAAGCCCGGCCACCGCGGCATGACGGTGCACAAGGCGCTACAGCGGTGCGTGCCGGCGGAGGTGGCGCAGTACATGCTGCAGGAGCTGCGCGTTGACGGTGCCTTGACCGTGCTCGACCTGACGGCAGAGGAGGTCTGCAGACTCGCGGCGCTGTGGCAGCGATTTCTCGAGGCCTCGTCGCAGCAGCAGAAGCCGCATCAACAAAATGAATCGGCAGTCGGTGGAGAGTAGCTGCAGTGCATGAGAAATGAAGTGATGATGTGCGTTTTACTTTGTGGTGTGTCTGTGTATATGTGTGGTGCTCCTGCCGTACCATACGTGTGTCTCTTTGTAGTCTCTCTGTTTCTTACTCTCACTCCTTCATTGCAGGCGCATCACCTCGTCCGTGTATTATCGATAGGTGTGCAATCTGCGCACCTCCACGCCGTGCGGCGAGTCTCTCCGCCAAAGATGTCGTATGCGCTGCGGCACCGGCAGCCCCAAACACTCTCCCCGCCTGCACCCCACTCAGCCTTCAGCGAACAACAACAGCAGCAGCAGCAACGCAGCGGTGTGCCCGACACGACGCGGTCGGCGTCGAGTGGGCCCGCGACCAGCGGCTGCAGCACCTCCCTGGACGCTCTACCGCCCCTCCCGCTGCGCGGTGCCGCTCGGCAGAACTCCACTGCTGACAGTTCCGCACCGCTGCGGCGCTCCCGCAGCAATCGGAGTAACAACAACAGCAGCAGCTGCAGCAACTGCAGGGGGATGGCCGGTGTGCAGGACCGACCACCCCCAAGCAGCGTTGAGCGGCGCAAGGCGGGATCGAAGGGAAGGTGTTTGGATTCTCCTGCTTCTGCTGCTGCTGTTGATGGTGGTGGTGGTGGTGCTGCGGTGCACAAACGAGGTTCAACCGCGACGGTGAAACTGGCAGTGGCAAAAGCAGCTGTTACAGGCGTCTCGCGTGGGGGTGCGCCCAGTTCTTCGACGCACATCGCCGATGCCTCGCACGACCAGCTCACAGGGAAGCTGAAGAGCATCATGCACGCGCGGAAGGAGATTGAGGCTCCTGTGCGCCGACAGAAGGAGGATGCGCGGGAGCTCGTCACGTTGATGCAACGAATCCTCGCACGCAGGCCGAGTGTCGATGCCAGCAGCAAGGCCGAACTCCAGAGGGCGGTGCGGGACCGCAACCAGGCGCTGCAGCTGCTCAGTATGGTGCAGGTGGAGGGCAACGCTGTTGTGCACCGCATGCACGAGAACATGGTGCAGCAGCAGCGGCAGATTGAGGCGCTCGTGCAGGAAAATGCGAAGCTTCGGGCCACTCTGGCCCATGGCGATGGCAATAACAACGACAGCAGTAGAAGTGAAGGGGAAAAGACAAGGAATGACGCAGCAGCAGCAGCTACAGTGGAAGCGTCCCCTATTGTGGTGAATGTGCAGCCGATGGACGACGACGCAGCAGCGGTCAACAGTCACCTGCTCGCGACGATAAGCGCACTGCATGAGGCCCTGCGTTGTGAGAAGCAGCAGCGCCTCCAGGCGGAGGAGCTGTCGCATAAGCTTTCCCTGCAACACCAACGCAGTGTTGCCCTGCTGGAGGAGCGGCTGCAGCGCGGCTACAACAGCAGCAACAACACCGCGAGGTCGAGCTCTCCTACTGCGGCGCAGCCGGAAGCCATTGACTCGAGCGGCTCTCCTCCTCCCTCTTATTCGCTGCCACCGACTGCAACTTCCATCAATGTGGCAAATAGTGCTGGGGACGCGGGGCAGATGTCATTGTCGTCAGTGCAGTGCGACGATGCGGGGCCGGCGCTGCAAGGCGATGAAGTCGGCGTGCATGTGGCGTCTATCACGCCCCCCCCCCCCCNCCCCCCCCCCCCTCCGAAGCCACTGCATAAATGATGGAAAAGGGAACGTTTCAACGACCTGACACTATCCAGTTACCTCTCTCTCTATCTTTATATTGGCCTAGTTCTCTTGTGACACACACAACCTGACTCTTGTGTGATGAAACTGCTGTTATTTGCTTGTCTGTGTCTGTGTGTGTGTGTGTCTCCGCCTTGCTGCTGCTATTGTTGTGGTTGCTGTTCGTCTGCGTAGCACCCCCGGCGTCTCCACATACACAGTAGTAAAACAATTGCAGCTAGATTGGGCGGGGCAAGGGTGTGAGCTCGAACTGCTACACGCGACACGACAGCGGCGGACAAACAAGGCGACTCTCTTTCTCTCTCTGTGTGTGTGTGTGTGCCTGTGAAGCCGAACGGACGGTGACATGCAGTCCACCATTGTGTTAGATGCCGGCTCGGGCAGCGTGAAGGCGGGCTGCAGCAGCGCCAACGCGCCGGCGTTCCTCCCGTCGCTGGCTGGGCGTGCCAAATACAAGCCGCTGTTCCAGTCAGCGCCCGCGCCCGCTGTGGTGGCAGTTGGCAACGAGATAGCGGACCGTCGCGGGCTGCTGCACCTCTCGTACCCCATCCAGCACGGTACCATTGTTGACTGGGACGCGTGGCAGTTGCTGTTGCAGCAGCTGGAGCAGCGCCTCGACACGCCCTTCGCTGACCGCGACGTGTTCTGGGTAGAGCACCCCTTCAGCTCCCGCCCACAGCGTGCGCGTGTGGCGCAGATTCTCTTCGAGGAGAAACAAGCCGCCGGCATGTGCGTTGGTGTTGCACCGCTGCTGTCACTCTACGCCACCGGCCAGACAACGGGGATTGTGCTGGATGTTGGCGAAGGCGTCTCCTCCGTTGCGGCGGCGGTGCAGGGGTACGCGGTGACTGAGATGATGCAACGCGAAGACTTTGGCGGGGGCGCCGTCACGCAATACCTTCAGCGCCTCTTGCGCGAGTACGGCAGCTATAATACGTGCAGCGGAAACAGCGGTGGTGGCACCAACGCGACGGTCGTGCGCAGCTTTAACCCGTCCCGCTGTGGTGCCGAGCGTGAGCTTGTGCGTGCGATTAAGGAGCAACGCTGCGAAGTCAGCCCACACCCTGTGCCGACGAGCACAGGCGCTGCGGTCGTTACCGGTGTGGCGGGTGGCGGCGGCGGCAGTATCGTCCGAGGTGCTGGCGACGCCGACGAGCTTTTTAGCAGCAACAACAACAGCCGCAACGACGCGGCGTTCCTCAACCTCGCCCACGCGGTGGCAACGGCAGCGCCGAAGCGGCACCGGCTTCCAGACGGTACAGAGCTGACGCTGGGCCACGAGTTGCTGCAGGCGCCGGAGGTTCTGTTCAGCCCCGCACTCATAGGTAAGGAGCACGTGGGCCTCGCCGGCATCGTCGCCGATGCGGTACGTGTAGCTGACGTGGAGCTGCGCGCGGAGTTGTGCCAGCACGTCTATCTCACTGGTGGCACGACTCTGCTGCAGGGCTTCGGCCAGCGATTCCTCACCGAGCTGCTGCAGCTCACACCGCGCGACTGCAAGGTGCGTGTGGCGGCACCAGCGGAGCGCTCGCACACGGCATGGCTGGGCGCCGCGTTTCTCGCGCGGCTGTCGACGTTCCAGCAGCAAATGGTGGTGAGCCGCGCCGCCTTCATGGAGGAAGGCGAGCGCGCACTGCACGCCCGCCTTGTCGGGTGAGAAGCGCCGCAGATGCAGAGGAAGTATGTCTGTTGATTTCTGTGTGTGTGTGTGTGTGAATGGTGAGATGAGGGCGCATGGGTGTTGTGGTTGATGGTTGTTCCACGCCGATGCAATGGTGGACCGCTCTCTCTCTCTCTCACTCTCTCTGTGCGTGGGTATTTTGTTTGGCCGCTAAGCTTAACGTATATTCCGGACCCCTGCTGGGGCTGCGAAGACGACAGCACAGGGAGGGGTTGTGTGGTGTTCGAATACGCCGTTCTATAGAGAAACACTATACGACGGTGAGAGGAAACCAAAAAAAAACAGCAACAGATGCAACAAATAGGCAACATGGTCTCCAGGGAGGCTGGTGAGGCGCTGCAGTCCATGAAGCAGCAGTACGAGCGCGATCGCGACGTCGTCCTCACGTTGCAGCGCAGCGAACACCAGCAGCTGTTGGTGCGGAAACTCACCGAGCTCGCGCAGGGCCTCGAGCAGCAGTGCCACAGTCGAGATTCCCTCGCAGCGAGTGTGTCGGCAGGTTGTATTAATTTGCAGCATTCGCCAACAGCTGTTGCCTCCAGTACAGCTCCAAGTGAGCACGATGCCACTGAAACCATGACGCCATACCTCAAAAGCACTCAGGCGGCTTCAAGTCGCTCCCGCACGCCTCCGCATTCGCATGAACAGCAGCAAAATGTGTCGCCGACGTTTGACCGGCTGCGTCGGTCGCTGTTGGGCCATTGCGAGGCCGATGAGCACGGCTCCGTCAACGCCGTTCATCTCACTTGTAGCGGTAGCACGACTCCGTCTTTGAAGAGGCAAGAGGCGTCGATAAGAGGGACGGCGGCAGCAGCCGCGGAGAGTAGAGAAGTACCCCTGCCCAGGGGCGCCTGCCTTCCTGTCAAGTTCACTACCTCCAACACCACGGCGGTTCCCCCGACGTCATCGTCCCACGCGGGTGTAGACGCATGCAACACCAGCGGGATGACTGTGGTGGTTGTCAGCCCACCACCACGGCCCAAGTCGTGTCGATGCACGCAAGAATGGAGCGTGCATGACGGCTCGCCGGTCCCGCCGTGGGAGTCATGCCCGGCGGAGTCCACAACAACAACAACAACAGCTGCCAAGGCGATGGCTTGGCTGACACAGCAGCAGGAGCAGACACGGCAGCGACACGCGCCAGTGACGCCAGATGAGGCAGCGAAGGCGCATCTCATGAAAACGATACATTCCCTGTACGGTGAGGCATCAGGAGTGCGTGGGCCGCACCCACCAGCGCCGCGTCAGAGGCAGAACGTGCAGCAGCAGCAGCAGCAGCAGCTGTCATCGATGGTGTCCCTCCCCGACGAGATTGCCACTGCGCAGGCCCCGCTCGAAATAACAAGGAGATCAGCAACAGGGGGTTCGGGCCGGATGCAAATGTCGAAAGAGCAGCTGATACGTGAGCTGCACCGCTTGTACGGTATTGGGGATGACACCAGCTGAATTCGATTCATCTTGTCCATGCTTCCCCTCCTCTTTGAGTGAAAGCTGGTTGAGGTGGGTGGTTTCTTCCCTCATGGCCGCCACGCGTCCCCTTTATCGCATCCGTCCTTCTTTGTAGTTCCGTTACTTTTACTGTTTTTCGTTGTCGGCGTCGTCGTGTCCATTCACTTGTGGTGATGCTGCGGGGGCGAAGTCGAGGCGTTGTGTGGGACCAGGAAATTAACGAAGAAATATAGTCATCAGTTTTGCTGCGCACATTCCTTTTGCATATGTGTCTGTGTGTGCAGGACACGCGTTGATCTGTTCAACTCGTACTCTAGCTCTCTTATACTGCTGCTATTATCAACCTTCTTTCTTCTCACTCTATCTTATCCTCTCTTTCTCTCTCTCTCTCACACACATACACACGCACTTGCTCGCCTTGTGTGGATTGCAGGGGTAGGAATAGGAAGAGCAGGTATAAGGTGGATACCGGTGTGGTACGCATATACATCTATATATACGTATATATAGAGAGAGTGGGGAGGACTATATTCGTATAGTGCTCGTCCGCGGGGGGACGCCGAACGGGTTAGCTGCCAACGCCAGAAATGGAGCGGGGAACGGTTCTGTCCGTTCAGTCCGAGACTTCGCCTCCCCAGGAAACGGAGCTATACACAACGGGTGCCGCCACGTCGTGCAGCAGTAGTGGTAGTCCCCGTGGTGTGTGTGATTGCGAGTCTAAGAGCAGCCACTCTGTTGGCACGAAACACGCTTCTGTTGTCGCTGCTGCTGCGGCTGCTGCTCCTCCCGCACCTCCTAGTAGCAACAATAGCGGCCATGCCGGTGGTGATGATGATGATGATGATGAATTTGGTGAGTATTGTGAAGTGTCCGTGATGGCGGCAGCAACACCGGAAGTGCCTGTGACGTCACCACGCGAGAATGCGCTGGTGGTGGCGGCGGCGGCGGCGGTGATGGTTCCTACCGCTGCTGCGGGGGCCGCCGCGCAGAGTGTCAAGCTTGACGAAACGCCAGCGGGACGCGTGGATTCCACGCCAGCCATAGTAACGGGTAACGGTGGGCACAGTGCGCACACGCCGACCACCAACTCGAATGTTTCACTCCATGCATTGGATGACGCCTTGGTGTCAACGATTGGTGCGACAGACGGCACGGCGTTGGTGGCGCGCTTTGACGCGAGTACCGCTCAGCTGATACAGCAGGTGGTGCCGAACGTCGTGAGGAACTCGTTGTCTTCTACGCTCAGCCAGAGCGACACATTTAATCGCCTTCTGGAAACGACCAGCGCCAAGTATGGAAGCCTTTCCACGACTCTCAACACCCACTCCAGTTCCAATAACGACAGGCACAGCTCCCTGCAGATGAGCAGTCGCACAGACAGCGGCGGCAGCGGTGGGGTAGTGCTCTCTCTGGCAGGCTCATCCTACGCTCCTGTTGTGCCGTCGCACGGCTCGGGCATCTTCACGGTACGCGCCGATGGGGCCGCATCACGGGTGTGCGGCCAGCTGGGCAGCAGCATCTGCAGCACGCCGTTACCACACTGCGTCACCTCCCCCACACGGTCCTTCTCGGTGGTGGCGCCGAGCATCAGCGGCGACGAGGACGCAGAGAGTGCGGAGCTGCGCGGGGCGTTCCGCGCAGCAGCATGCATTGCGCCCATGTTGAGCGGCGGCGCGGCGCTCGAGGGCACCGGTTTCAGCGAGACGTTCGGCAGCGTGACAGAGACGGTGTACTCTGCAGGCTCGACGGGCTCGACGGAAAAGGTGCTCAATCTGACAGGGAGTGCGCGCCGCGTGGAGGACAAAGCGGATGAGCGGGGCAGCAACACGGAAGGACTTACCGGGTCGCGCAAAGCGACGCTCAGATCGGTTGCACACGCCGCGGTGGGGGACGCAGCCGCTATATACAGCGGCCACAGCACGCAGTCGCAGTTGCGACAGCACGACAGGAGTGGAAGCAGCAACAAGAAGAACAGCAACACGCGCCTGTCATCGCCGCCAGACGCGCCAATTCCGCTAACGCAGCCTGTTATTGATCCCGCGGGGGCACAGTTCATGATGTTCGTCGCGAAGATGAGCGGCGCGAAGAGTCCGCCGCTAATGCCATACCCGGGCACGATGACGCCGTCGCCGCTGCCAAAGGGAGAAAGTGGCGTGGACGACACCAGCGCCGGCTCCTACATTAGCAACGACGTTTGCGGGTCGGCGACTCTCAACAGCATGCCGAAGCTCTCGCACACCGCCACTCTCGTCATCGGAGACTGTGTGGCGCTCTCCGGATCTCGCAATGATGCCAGTGGCGAGAACGCATCCGTCACGTCGCCTATAAATTCCCTCCAAGACACGGGTGGTGGTGGTGGTGATGAGAATGGCGATAGCAAACCTGATGCCAGTGCCGGAAAGGAGGCCCCCGTGGATGCAGTAAATATAGTGGAGCCCGAGGCACCACAGATGGAGAAAGTGAAGGAGTATGAAGATTGCGATGACGATGACTTTGGGGATTTTGTGGAGATTGTGCCGCAATCAGCGGCTGACGCGACGCCCACTCCTGCACCAACAGCGACTGGAGAAGAGTGTAGTGTTGACGACGACGATGAGTATGAGGATGCTGGTACAACAGCGATGGCGGCTCATAACCCCAAGGAGGATCAGCAACAGCGCCAACAGCGGAGTGTGGAGCAAAACGCGCTCTCTTCCACGCTGGGTGCATCGGATACAAGCGGCGGGGTTGCCGTGTTGTGCTCGAAGACTGTGCGGTTCACCGGCGAGGCGCCCAGCATTGTTGAGTCCCCTCCCGCCAACGTGTGGGAGGAGTATCCTGAGGAGTGGATCACTAATGGCACTGGCGACAGCGGTAGTGGGGAGGCAGAAGAAGAAGAAGAGGAAGCGGCGGCTGCAGTACCGGATGATAGTGCTGCCGACGAGGACGCGGAATGGGCTGCATTCACAGGTGCCTTCTCGGTTCCACTCCCGATTGGCAGAGGCGTCTCTGTGGGCGCGACAGCTTCTTCACCGAAATGCGCAGACGGATTCGTGTTCAGCAGAGACGTTGATACAGCCTTGTTTGGGCAGCGCCTTCACGACCTTGTTGGGTGTGTGGTAGATACTAACAGCACAGTAGAGGAGCTGGAGCTGAAGGTCAACAGTGGTGATGCTCAGCAGCAGCAGCAGCAGCGGTCCAGGAGATCACAGCTCACCGCTGTGATGGAGGCGTTGTCGTTCACACAGCTTACTCAACACGGAGACCCGGAGGAAGAATTGTGTGGTGTAGGCGGCTCGTTTGTGAGGACTGGTGACTTTGCCGGTTCTTTCAGCTACATGGGGTCACTTATCGCCCCTGGGGGTGGTTTACTCGACGGTAACGAGGAGACTCCACAGCTGCTGACGCTCACGTTGAGTACGTGCGATCCTGTTGCGGCACTGCAGATTTCTGACCGCCGTGCACTGCGCCTCCGCGATAACCTTGAATCTGTCCTTCTTTTGGCCAGCCAGCGGCAGCAGCAGCAGCAGCAGCAGCAGCGGCACCCTATACCCGTCAGTGAGGCCATTGACAAGGTAAGGGAGGCAGTTGATCTGCAGCAGCAACAGCTGCAGGAAGCCGGGGATGAGAACGTTGTGTGGACCGTCCACCCGACTCTGCCGCCACCGCACATTGGGGATGGCAATGCCCCTGCATCGGCCTTGCGTCTACCGCTCTAACTGGTGTGCGTGGGTAGTTTCTCTGTGGAGGGGGAAAGGTGTGTGTGTGTGTGTGTGTGGGTATGTGTCTTTGCCTGCATGTGTGTACAAGTTTCATTTGTTAAACGCAGGAGAATTTCTGAATTCAGCTTAGTGGTGCTTTCGTCGTCATTGAAAGCGGTGGCTGCCGCTCTTCCATCACTTTCGCCATGCATTTTCAGCTTTGAGTTGCCCTCTTTCTCTCTCTGTGTGTGTGTGTGTGTGTGTATGTGTGTGTGCAATGAGTATCTGTTGTGTCAGACGAAAGAAAATACAAACAAACAGGCGCGGCCGCCCTCAAGACATGACTTCTGCATGATGGCATGCGTGTAGCTCTGTGGGATTGCCCTCACAAACAGACGAGTTCCAATCTCTCTCGTTGTTGTTTTTCTTTTCATTCTCTCTTGCCTTCCCCTTCTACACGACTCGCACTGGGTTGTGCCACACCCTACTGCGACACGATCAGCGCAAAGCCAAACAGCTACCATAACAACAACAAGCATCGAACAACCATGACAGGAATGACCAGCTTCTGGGAGAACGTGAAGGCAGCGGTGCCGGACGCGATTTTCGCGCTCGCGCTGGAGGCGAAGAATGCGCCGGAGCCGAAGGCGGACCTCATCATCGGTGCCTACCGCGACCCGGAGGGCCGCCCGTATCCGCTGCAGGTCGTGCGCAAGGCGGAGAAGCTCCTCGTAGTGGACATCAAGCCCGAGAAGGAGTACCTTCCGATGTCTGGCTACCAGCCCTTCATTGACGAGGCGGTGAAGCTCGCCTACGCCGACAGCGTGCCGCGCGAGCGGGTGGCGGCGGTGCAGGGTCTGAGTGGCACCGGCTCGCTGAGCCTCGGCGCGTGCTTCCTCGCCCAGCTCATGCCGCGCGATGTTGTGGTGTACATCTCCGACCCGACGTGGCCGAACCACTACGCCGTGATGCGTGCGGCGGGGTTGACCAACACGCGCACGTACCGCTACTACAATGCGGCCACGCGCAGCCTCGACATTGAGGGCCTTCTCGCCGACCTCCGTGCCGCGCCGGAGCGCAGCATTGTCATCCTGCACGCCTGCGCGCACAACCCGACAGGCGTCGACCCGACGCACGCGCAGTGGGAGCAGATCGCCGAGGTCTTCAAGGCACGCCAGCTTATCCCCTTCTTCGACTCCGCATACCAGGGATACGCCACTGGCAACCTCGACGAAGATGCGTACGCTATTCGCCTCTTCGCGCGTCAGGGTATGGAGATGCTGGTGGCGCAGTCCTTCTCGAAGAATATGGGCCTCTACTCCGAGCGCGTCGGGGCGTGCTCCGTCGTTGTGTCGAACCCCGAGAAGGCGGCAGCTGTGAAGGCGAACCTCGAGACTGTGGCGCGCAGCTACTACAGCAACCCTCCGGCGCACGGCGCGCGTCTGGCGCACCTCGTGCTGAGCGACAAGACAATGCGCAAGGAGTGGGAGGATGAGCTGCGCGGGATGGCGGCGCGCGTGCTGGAGATGCGGAAGGACGTGTACGACGGCCTCACGAAGCGCGGCACTCCTGGCACATGGGACCACGTTCTCTCGCAGGTCGGCATGTTCTCCTACCTCGGCCTCACCAAGGCACAGTGCGAGAAGCTGGTGGAGAAGCGTGTTTTCGTGCTGCCTTCCGGCCGTGCGAATATGGCGGGTCTCACGAAGGCTTCCGTCCAGCTTCTCGTGGACGCCATTGACGAGGTTGTGCGCGCCGCACCCTCACAGTAAAGCGCACACACGCCAGTATATATATATATATATA